GAAAGAGTTATTTATCATGGTGATTTTTGAAATGGTATTTTGAAATTCTTTGGCCGAGCGCCGAAGAATAGATTCTTTTGAATTATGGTGCTGGAGAAGACTCTTGAGAGTCTCTTGGACTGCAAGAAGATCAAATCAGTAATGAAACTGAAGCTCAAATACTTCGGCCACCAAATGAGAAGGGAGCATTCACTGGAGAAGACCCTGATGCTGGGAAAAACTGAAGGTCAAAGGATGAGATGGTTATACAGTGTTATCGAGGCAACCAACATGAAATTGAGCAAACTCCGGAGGACGGTAGAAGACAGGAGAGCCTGGCATGATGTGGTCCATGGGGTCGCGAAGAGTTGGACTCGACTACGCGACTGAACAACAAAAATTTTGAAATTTAAGCCAAGCAGCAGACATCAACATTACCAAACATTATCTTTCCCTTTCTGAACATGACAATGTTTTAACAGAGGAAAGCAGTATCTAAACCATCCTTGCTGATTTGGAACTTTTCTCATAAGCCTTGCAAATGAAGTACTTCCTTATCTAATTAGTAATTAAACTGTGGAATTCACTGCCAGTGGATGTAGTGACAGCCACAAGCACAACAGGCTTTAAAAGGGAAGCAGATAACTTCAGGGAGGATAAGTTTATTGAAGGCTAATAGCCACAGTGACTAATGGGAACTTCCACATCCGGAGGCAGTAAACCTCTGAAAAACCACTTCTAGGAGGTGTCATCAGAGGAAGGTGTTGGCCTTTGTGCCGTTTGTTGGCCCACCTGGCCCCACTGGTGGACCTCCTGATGGCAACTGGTATTTTTGGCCACGGTGTGACAGTGTTGGACTGGATGGGCCACTGACCTGATCCAACATTGGCTTCTCTTATGTTTTTACGTTCTTATGTTAACTGGATGGCCATTGCATGAAACAGGATGCTGGACTAGACCACGGCTTTGATCCAACAAAACTCATGTTTTTATCCAAAATTCAAGACAATGCTTCTAAGAACAGCTTGGCATCCTCAATATCCAACCCATCCACCCAATTACAGAAATGTAAAACTAACTGTCCACACACCTTGTGTTTCACCTGGTGTATTCCAGCTTCCTGAAAACTAAGCAAGGGGATTAAAAAGCTCCATGTGATGCACCAGGACCTTTGGATGAGGAAGCAGGAGGGTGGTGGGCAAGTAGTCCTGTTCATAATTAGCAAAAACAGAGCAACTGAGATTTGTGTTTGTGACACAACCCTTAATCTAAACTATATCTTGTACAGCAGAGGTGGACAGAAGGTCACTTGGGAGTGACAAGTCACACCCCGAGCAATTTAAAGTAGCTTACTACCTCCAGTCCTGCTGTAATCACTTTCTGCCTCTCTCCTCTCTTTCATGCAAAGGACAAAGAGCCACCTTTACTCTGGATGGGAAAATGACAGCACCAGGACCCTTTCTCATTCACCTCTCTTCCTCCTTCTTCATGCATGTGCACAGACCCACCTTTGCTTTAGAGAAGAAAGGGGCATGCTCTTGACTCTTTCACCCTGCATTAGAGCTGCTGCTTGCTTCTTCCAGGAAAAAGAAAGGTAATGGTATATTTTCTGCCCTGTAGAGCATGGTGGTGCTTTGCAGAGGAAAGGTCTCCTTACCCAGGAACTCCAGACCTGCTCTAACACTACTGTAAATTTTGTATAGGTTGCCATTCTGTGACCAGCTCCACCCACTAATCCACTATTTGGTGAACGGTAGCTCCTCAAAACAATTAAGGCTCTTCCAGAAACATAAACCCTCTCCTCCCTTGCTGTATAGTACCTTAGCTCTCTGTCAAACAGTGGAAACATAAGAAACATGGAAGAGGAGGAGATTAATTCCTTCCTATCACAGATACCCAAGAAACTCTACCCCCCCCCACAAGCCTGGCCCAGTATTTTACATCCAGAAAATTCACATTATGTGTCTACAATAGTGGAAAGCCATAATTTGTTGCTCTTGATCCCACTGCTGATTGCTACAAAAATTATAGTAAAAAGTAAAGGTTTCCCTTGCTCGAAAGCCAGTCGAATCTGACTCTAGGGTTTCGGTGCTCATCTCCGTTTCCAAGCCGAAGAGCCAGCACTGTCCGAAGACGTTTCCGTGGTCATGTGGCCGGCATGACTAGATGCCGAGGCGCATGGAACGCTGTTACCTTCCCACCCAAGAACTGCCCAAGAAAAACTATCTACTTGCAATTTCTTGCTTTCAAACTGCTAGGTTGGCAGGAGCTGGAACCAGAAACGGGAGCTCACTCTGTCATGCGGCACACTTGGGTCTCGAACTGCCGAACTACAGACCTTCCAGCCTGCAGCTCAGCGTCTTAACCACTTGAGCCACCGCAGCCACAAATATTATACCAGCACACAAAGTTTGTTTTGACTTTGCTGCAGTTTAAAAGATGAAGGAAATTCTGATCTGTGAAGGACAAAGTCTGAAAAATATCTGTGATCATTAGTAAATGCAAAAATGCCACCGGGGGGGGGGGGGGAAACCAAAATGTGTAGCTGTGCAATAAAGAAAAGAATGTCACTGTTTGAAGTCGCTTCCCCCTCCTTTCCTCAAACCAGTCTCCCTCTACAGCTGCCAACAAAAGGGTACAACACCCGCCAGCTGCCCAAAATATCCAAGGCTCTTCAGTCATAAACACACTTCATATAAATTATCTCAACACGCTTGGTCGGAGCTAGGAGAGTAGCAAGACTGAGCGCATAAATCTCATGTGGAGGAAGACACTGTAGACTACAGGTAACAAAATAATGAAACCTAAGAGCACATTTTCCAACTGTGCCTTCCTTTGACAGGCCTAATTTTGTACCATGGGCACAAACATTTCTACTGAATATAGGGATAGCTTTTTGCGTCACTAAAAACTGGAACAACACTCAGGTGCCGGGCTCTTAATTTAGGACGTAAATAACATCTGCAAGTAGTATGCAATTACATCGTAATTCTGCTGCAGTGTCCAAGTATGTAGGAAGGAGGCATTGACCAGGAGGAAGTGAAGCTACACTACAGTTCTTAAATGGAAATGCTTCAGATTCTCACAAAATTAGCAGCTAGAAGTACAAACAGTGCCCCCCCACACACACACACACCAAGTCTATTACAATAGGCACTAGGCTGCCTGCCTGGTAAGTCATGGGCTGACAAAGAAATACAGGTCTGTCACACTTGACAAGAATCATTACCTAATTTTCCTAATTACAGCTTTCAGGAGATTATAGTTAGCACATAGACATTGATTCAACTCCAGGCAGATAACTGCTGAATAAGCCTTAAAAGCGGGAATCATCCATCAAAAATTGACAAATCGCCACTCCTTTTGTGCACAAAACTCTGTGTTTGAAACAATATAATCCCTCAGCCAGAGAGTGGTATTTGGAGACAGAGCATTAGTTTTTCACAAGAAAACCCACAAATATACTACAAAGCTAAGAACCGGGCTCTACGAGAGACTTCACCTTGCTACAGAATTTGAAGCCGATTTTGTAGGAGTTCTAGGAGACATTAAAAGGGATATTCTGAGACGGAAACTAGGCCACATATTACACAAATTACTATCACCACAAAGGTCAAGATTTACATGATTGGTCTGAGTCAGCAAATCTGTGCTAGAGCTGCCTTAAGGTTACAAAAGGATGGTCCTCCAATTTCAGAAGACTCCCAATTTAATAGCGCAATATAATTTATGAGCAGAAGAGAAATTTGGGCACACGCTGCCGTGCAGTATATAAAATGTCCTGTAAGAACCAGGGAATGATTTTAGACCATAGAGGCTTAGGATCAGAGGGTTTGGGTTTTTTTTTTTTTGGAGGTCTGGGGCTAGGAATCTTTACAGTTGCAATGCTGTTCCCTTAATCCCGCTGAAGTCAGCAGAACTCACTGGCATTATAAAGCCTGTTGTCTGCGGCGACAAATCTTATTCCACAATCTTTTGATTTTTGTTATTTCACTAGGCATTGTGTCCACACACTTGCAAGCATATCTCTGCAACCACAATGACAAGAGGCTTACTTTCTTTAAAGGGGGTTCAGGGCTCTTTTTGTAGCAGGAACTCCTTTGCATATTCGGCCACACACCCCTAATGTAGCCAATCCTCCAAGAGCTTACAGAGCTCTTCTTACAGGAGCTACTGTAAGCTCTTGGAGGATTGGCTACATGAGGGGTGTGTCGCTTAATATGCAAATGAGTACCTGCTACAAAAAGAGCCCATAATGCCGAGTGACTGGCCTAGGGTCAAACAGCAAGTTTCCATGGTCGGATAGGGAATTGACTTGGGTCTCCCAGATCCTAGTCTGACACTCTAACCACCACACGACACTGGCTTGGGGAACAGAGTACTTTTAGCCAGGGCTTTTTTTGTAGAAAAAGTCCAGCAGGAACTCATTAGCATAATAGGCTACACCCAGCAGCAGAAACTTATTCGCATATTAGGCCACACCCCTGACAGCACAGCTCATTGGCATATTAGGCCACACACCCCATGTTACCAGAAGTGTGCTCATCCAGCCACACCCACCTTTTGCTCTTTATTCTGTTTACCTTGTTTGTTGTCAAAACCCTGGGCTTTTTTGTAGCAGGAACTCCTTTGCATGTTAGGCCACACACCCCTAATGTAGCCAATCCTAATGAGTTCCTGCTGTTGGGTGTGGCCTATTATGCTAATGAGTTCCTGCCGGGTGTGGCCAACTTGGGAGCCAGCCGGAACTCCGTTCCTGTGCGTTCCTGCCCAAAAATAGCCCTGCTTTTAGCAAACATTTTTGGTCATTTAGTTTAAGAGAGCAGAAAGCAGTGTAACGTTCAAAGTGGTTCAGAATTCAAAATAGTAAATTTCGCTACAATTCAGTTGAGGAAACCTAAAAAGAAAGAGATGTGAGCCAGGACTTTTTAATTCAGGGGGCCTTTAAATAAGTCAGGGGCACCCCCCACCCACCCCCAAGCAAGCAGCCCCGCTCCCACCCTTCCCTGCAGCCAGCCAGGCACGCCCCACCCCCTTTTAAAATAGTTGCACCAACTTCTTGGCAACTGGGATGTCTCACCCCCCCACCCAAGGTGGGATCACTCCAAGAGAGAAAGAATGCTACCCAGCCAACCCACTCCGTCCAGTTCCACCACAGCCAGCTTAGAGGGAACACTGCTACCTGCCAGCCCACTCCGTCCAGTTTCACCACAGCTGGAAATGAGAAAGAGAGAGAGGTGGTTGGGAAAGGGGCATTTCCACAGGCGACCCCCAAGCCAGGAGGGGGGACCTCGGTGTCTCAGCCATGCACCAAAGAAGCAGTCCAGGGCGGTGGATGCACCAGGAAGCCAATGGCACTGTAGCTGAGCACCAGGCCGGTCTTGCTCACAGCGCCAGCACTCAGCAAGATGCACTCCAGCCTGGGAAACCACTCCAGCGCCTTCTGCCCCTGCAGAGGCACCGGCAGCAAAGCTGCGACACCCAGCAAAACTGCGACACCAGGCTGGCACTGCCTCGGCCTGGATGTGGGTGAACAGGGAAAAAGGACTGATGATCCTTGATTATTTTACACTAGAAATAATGCCCGTTGCGGAAATAAATACAACGGGATCTAGAAAGAGGCTCTGGGAGAGTGCTCTGGCTTTGGGCAAACAGTGTCAGTTTCCTGTGGCGACCTCAGCAGGGTTTAATGACAGAGTCCACGGTTTTCTCCCAAGGGACTGATCTCTGATAAGTGGTGCTTCCCACCTTGGGAGAGTGGATGGGGATGGGGGAGTAGCTGACAAACTTACAGGCGGAAAAACCCACAAAATACAAAATTACTATTCTAGAAAATAAACATACGGTCAACAAGCGTATTAGTTCTCTTACAACTGTCACTGGTAACAAAAAACGATCTCAAGGGGTATTGTTTCAGTATAACTAAAGAACGATTCCACTGTGGAAAAATAAAGCTACACGGGAGCGTTGCCGTTCTCACCTTGCCAGTGCTATGCCAAAAACACAGCCTCCTACAATGGACCAGAATCCGATCCAACCTGCATCCACCTGGGGAAGATTAAATAGTGAGAAATAAGATGCTGCTTCAAGCAAAGTGGAAAGCAAATTGCATATATGCCATTTGTCAACAACATAAAAACAGACAAAAATTGACAAAAAACAATGCAAGGAAACATTGGAGGAACTTGACTGCCACCTCACTGGATTGGGTCTAAGATGCACATCTAATACTCTTTATCCAACACCAACTGATACTTTGGCAATGCAACAGCTCTCATCTGTAACTGCCTTTCAATGGTACACTGCCCCTAAATGTGGAAGTTCACCCACTCCACTAGCTACACAGAGACAACCTTGCTGTTGCTATATAGGCTGTCCTACCTAAGTGAGAGCACCACAAGGAGGTGGTTATCCGAGGACAGTTAACCGGTGCATGGGAGTGAACATATGGGTTGATAAGTATGGGGGCCCTAGGCCATAAAGGGCTATACAGTAATATGCAAGTAGGTAACTAGTGCAATTGAGGTAGTGTAATGTATTCAAAGCTGCCTTGAATGCAATGTGTGAAACATCTAATTGAAATGTAATGTTGAGCTTCGTCCTGGGCTAGGATCCAAATACATCCAATAGAATCGCTAGCCCAGGAAGTAACAAGCCAATCACTTCAAGCAAGCTCCCTGAGCAGGAACAAATGTGATTGGACATTATCTCGGCAACCTCATAGGTTGATATGTGTACAGTGGGTGTGGCTACATTAGCCGGGAATGTTTAAAAAGCAGGACAGCTGCAATGTAAAAGCTGTTCTGGCTATGAGATGTTGATCCGTGTTGGAGTTGTGTTCGAGTTGAAGAATAAAGTTGTGTTCTTGCTGAATCACTCTCCGACTGCTTTGTTAAGCGAGCGACTTAACGGGTAGCACTGGAGAGATATTCTTCAAGTGGCTGACCCCAGACAGGAATCTTATCACTGCATTTTGTACCAACTGAAGCATCCAAGAAGACTTCAAAAGCAGACCCACGTACAGTGCATTACAATAGACTGATCTGGAGATTACAGTGGCGTGGATCAGTACGACTAGGTCCTCAGAGTTTAAATAAGAATAAGAATAAGAGGAGATTGGATTTATACCCCCGCCCTTCACTACCCAAAGGTGTCTTAGAGCGGCTTACAAACTCCTTTCCCTTCCCCTCCCCACAACAGACACCCTGTGACGTAGGTGAGGCTGAGAGAGCTCTGACAGAAACTGCTCTTTTTCAAGAACAGCTCTTATCAGAACCACGGCTTGCCCAAGGTCATCCAGCCAGGTGCAAGTGGAGGAGTGGGGAATCAAACCCGGTTCTCCCAGATTAGAGTCCGCACACTTAACCACTACACCAACCTGGCTCTCAAGTGGCTTTCCTAGGTTGTATATTCTTGGGATGTGCTAAGTGAGCGAACCTGTTGTGGTGGCTCAGGGGTATTTAGAACCTGGGATGTCTAGCTTTTCCCATTTATACCAAAAGAGCTAGGGGAACTCATTAGGGTGTGGCTGGATGAGCACACTTCTGGTAACATGGGGGTGCGGCCTAATATGCCAATGAGGGGAGAAGCTTGTGAGCTAGACGTAACCAAAATTGTAGGTGCTCCTGGCAACACTGCTGACCTGTTTATCCACCATCACAAGCTAACAGCGGCGGATAAACCATGAATTTTGTTCATCTCCTTTTAAACCTTTGAAGCCAGTTAGCCATCATCACTTGAATTCCAGAAGCTGTGTTGTTTTGTGTGAAGAATTACATCGTTTTTACTTTCCTGAATCAATTTAATTCAATTATGACTTGTAATACTAGAAGAAATTGTTCTACAATATTTCCCCCCACTTAAAATACTTTTCAACCCTTAAAAATAAGCACCTCTTTACCAATGAAGCATGCTCTTCCAGTAAAATAGACACCAATTTTGTCCACTGTCTTCACTCCCTTTTCTCATCCCGGGAATTTTTCAGTATCTGCTCAACCTCAAATGGTACAACAGTTGTTCGACATCCTTTTTTCCTACAAGAGCATCACTTGTGTGTTCTGCTTCAGTAAGGTAATTTTAGCTAACTACAGGGGTCATTTCGTAGAAAAAGAGGTGCAGGAGCTCATTAGCACAACTTATTTGCATATGCCACACCCCCTGACATCATCGGAAGTGTGTCAGAAGGCAACACCCACCACTCCGGCTCCGCTGGACTGTTTTGGATTGCTAGCTATTGGGGGGGGAGGTGGAATGTGCAGATCTGCCCTCACAGAGGAGGGAGAGCTTGTACCTGCAGGTGGGCCGAGGGGGGGGGGGCTCTGCAACTTACCTGGCTGCTTCTTGCTCCTTGTGGCACAATTGAGGGCTGCTGGGAGCAGGGGGCGGGGCTTGTTGTATGTGCCTGCCCCCTGGGCTCCTTACTGCCGGAGCTCCACTCCTGTGCGCTCCCGCAGGAAATGACCCCTGGTTAACTGTAACAAAAACAATAGCTTAACAGCTACACATAAACAAGACACACATACATACGTACCTGGCTCACATGAGCCGGGGTTAATATCCAATCAAGAACTCCAGACCAACCAGAGAAAACACCCAAAGGTATAGCATAAGCCAGAGCAATCATAAGGAACCTCGGATTGCTGTAAAATAAAAGAACCATTATGAATAGCTGAGCCAAAGCAAAGTCTAGAGAATCTAAATTCTGTTAAACACAACTCCCCCTTGTTATTATTGATCAACAGGAACAGCCAGTACTACAGCTATCACATTGGGTTTCATTGAATTGCAGCTGATAGATAGACTCTGGTTGCACTCAGGATTTGGCTGTTTGCCACATACATGGTCAGAAGACCTGCCCCCACCAGATGTATATGCTAGGGGCTCTAATGTATGTGTAGGGGAAGGGAGTGGGAGTTTTCTCTGAAGAGTCCCAGTTCACTAATTCAAATGGAGATAACACTGAAGTAGCCACAAGTGTTTCCGATTTTCTCCATCTTCCTCCGTACTACTTATAGGAACTTCCCTGCCTTTTCCATTTCTCTCTATACAGCTTTCTCTACTTACTTACCTGTTACTTTTTGTTTCCACAGATTATAGTGCTCCTCTCCCTGCACCAAGGCACTCTCGTTGAGAGCCAGTTTGGTGTAGTGGTGAAGAAGAGGAGGAAGAGGAGGAGGAGGAGGAGGAGGAGGAGATTGGATTTATACCCCGTCCTTCACTACCCGAAGGTGTCTCAGAGTGGCTTACAAACTCCTTTCCCTTCCCCTCCCCACAACAGACACCCTGTGAGGGAGGTGGGGCTGAGGGAGCTCTGACAGAAACTGCTCTTTTTTCAAGAACAGCTCTTATCAGCACTATGGCTTGCCCGAGGTCATCCAGCAGGTGCAAGTGGAGGAGTGGGGAATCAAACCCGGTTCTCCCAGGTTAGAGTCCGCACACTTAACCACTACACCAAACCACTACACCAACAGTGCGGACTCTAATCTGGGAGAACCGGGTTTGGTTCCCCACTCCTCCACATGCAGCTGCTGGGGTGACCTTGGGTCAGTTATAAGTTCTTTCAGAGCTGTTATCTCAAGAGGAGTTCTCGGGAGAGCTCTCTCAGCTCCACCTACCTCACAGGGTGTCCATTGTGGGGAGGGGAAGGGAAAGGAGATTGTAAACTGCTTTGAGACTCCTTCGGATAGTGAAGGGCGGGGTATAAATCCAATCTCCTCCTCCTTCCTGACCACCCTCTTCCTCTTTCCTCACCCCACAAGTGTGCCTGTGCCCTACTGCTTTTTTCTCTCTGCATCGTCACAGGGCTTTCTACTCATCTGTTCTCTCTTTCACCCTTCAGTAGCTGTTCTCCCCTGCAGCTTCTGCCCCTGCCCCCTTCCCTCTACTCCTCCTCCTCCTCGCCAAGTTGGGTTGGAACCATTACACTGGGCTGTGTGACTCTCATACACAATAAAGGAGTCTTAGTCATAGGTGGAGCTAGCACGGTTGGCTACAATAGGCTGGGAAAAGCAAGTTAAAAGAGAGAGAGAGAGAGAGTGTTTCATCAACTCCATCCCCGCTCCCAGTTTTGATGGGCTTGAGCAGACTTTGATTATCCATACAAAAGAACGGGAAAGGGTTGCATACTATGAGTGTGTGAAACTCTCATACACCACAAAGCTGTAAATCATGGGAATTCTGTTTTTGCAGCACGCAGCGGGACAACAAGTCTTAATCACAACCCCCAAGGGCTATTCAAACATTATGCTCGGAGAAATCTGCAAGTTTGCCTCCTCCAATTTTTGCTTCTCTCCACTGAATGAATTACATTTTTTGATGAATGGTGACTTGAGGTACCATCATTAAAGGCAGCCAAGAAGCGATTTGTTAATATCACATTCAGTAACGTTCTTCTGTTCTTCTTTAGATAGACAACAGAAGCAAAGGAAAAAAAATGGATATAGAGAAAGGGAATTTTTGTGAAATAAACTTGGTCATTCACCCACCCACCGACATCTGTGCGATTACTGGTGCATACACAATCAAAATCAGCCCCAAGATGCCCTCTTTTTAGGCTGAACACCAGTTACCTACGTAGGTGCTTAGAGTGCAGTCCCAAGCAGAGTTCCACCCTTTTAACTTCATTGAAGTCAGTGGGCGCAGAAGGATGTAACTCTCTTTGGGACTGCACAGTTAAGCAGCAAATTATCTGTGGAAATGCCCTATGCAGAAAACTCTTTAACCTTTCTCATATAAATAATGCCTCTGACCTATAGAAACTATGTGAGGAAGAAAGAATCATAGCTTCACTTGAGCCAGGGACTTTCACCCAACCTTTTGCAAAAGGGGTCACTTTAAGCATTCATGGCCTCTCCCGAGGAGAATGGTTATGTGTCTTGAAGCAAGGCAATGCCATTTAAGTATTAAAGCAGATAATAGCTGGGAGGGGGGGGAAATGCTGAGACAGCAAATAAGGGCTCCTATATAAATGCACTAGTCCAAATTCCGACTCTTGCCTTGCAAACAAATAAATCTACACAAATTATTCAGCGTGAAAGCCTTTGGAAATGGGAGGGGAAAGAAGAAAGGAATCTGAGATGGTCACTGTTGTGTTCAACTAAGACTGAGACAAGCCCAAGGAACTGCACTAAGGGATTTGGGATTTTCTTCTTTTAAAACACTATTCACCTTCACTGCTCACTGAAGGTGAAGCTGTGCAAGCTGCGTCATCATCCCCATTCTGTCAAATAAACAGGAGTTGACAGAAAGGCCCAAAAGAAACAGTTTTAGTATAAATGAAGAAAACAAAAGGCAGTCCTTGGCTAAGATGCGCGCAGCTCTTTCTAAACTGCTCCAATTTCTGAATTCTAGACATACACATAACTTTACTTAATGCACATTTTATGTTGCAGTTTCTATATAAGGTTATTTGAAGGTGCTTCCAAATATTTAGCATTACATCCAGCATATTAGACTCTTGTTTTGTAGACAATGCTACCGGGAACCACAAAATTTAAGGGTCCGAGAACCCCCAGATGATAACCAAGTCAGAACTTGGTTGAGTAATTAAAGGCCCACAGATAATTACTTTATTCCACCTTTCTCCTTGTGAAGCTCAGGACACATTTGAGATTGCAATTTCCAGATGTAAAGAAAAAGATTTGCTTAGCTGTGGTTAACTAGAAAGAGACAATTACTGGAAGACCCTCTGGATAACTACCTATAAGTGAGAGATAAGACAGGTAAAGTAATCTGTGATCAATCTAGCCATGGTGCCAAAGAGAGGCCCATGCTCTATTAATATCTGGAATGTTGGAAGACTTTTAATCGTACTGATCAAATCAATGTGTAACCGCTTGCTAAGCAACATACATAAAACAGGAACAGAAGATGTGAGAAATGATATACTAAAAAGGTAGGATTGCAAATCCAGTTTAAGACCTCTCTTCACATGGACATATAAAAATAAGGTTGCCTTGAGCAGATATAGCTGGAGCATGTGCAGAAAAAGCCAGTTGCAGCGAGATGGACCAACTTAATGTAAGCAACAGAAACATTTTTCTTTAAATGTGGATCACCCAGCAATGGAAGCTCAGAGCACTCAGTAAGAGAGGAACTCACAGAGTGCATAAGTAATACTGAAGATGTTTAGATGAAAATAAGTGTCCTGGAGGTGTATTGTATCCATCCAAGACCCTGCTTTAAGAAGTGGGAGGATATTCTGTAGTGAAATCATTCTGAACTTGTGTTAGGCAATAAAGTCATTCAGAGCCTTCAGTTCCATGACGGGATGGAGGCCACCATCCTTCTTGGGGACCGTGAAACATCAGGAGTAAAATCCATGGCTTATGCAGGCCAGAGGAACAGTCTCTGTAGCATCCTTCGGTAGGAGGCTTTGGACCTCTTCTTGTTAAACTACAGAAGGAGGGGTGGTGATGAAAACCAGAGTTGAGGGGTTCTGAAGAAATTCTATTGCGTAGCAGTTGGCAATAATGGAGAGCATCCATTTGTTGGATGTAATCTGTCCCCAGGCCTGGAGAAATGTGTGTTTCTGTAGCAGGCATGGGCGGCAGTAGCGGGAAGAAGAAGAAGAGAGAGAAGAGATTGGATTTATACCCTGCCCTTCACTCCCCAAAGGAGTCTCAGAGTGGCTTACAAACTCCTTTCCCTTCCCCTCTCCACAACAGACACCCTGTGAGGTGGGCGGGGCTGAGAGAGCTCTTGACAGAAACTAATCTTTTTCAAGAACAGCTTTTATCAGAACTACGGCTTGCCCAAGGTCATCCAGCCAGGTGCAAGTGGAGGAGTGGGGAACCAAACCCGGCTCTCCCAGATTAGAGTCCGCGCATTCAACCACTACACCAAACTGAAGGTGGTATGGGAGTCAAAGGCCCTGTTTGGGAGTCCTGGGACCCTTGGGTCTGGATGTTTGCTGGTTGGGCTGAAACTTGGGTTTCTTGTACGAGGATCTGTTACCAGACTGAGAGTATTTGGTTCTCCAGGAGTGAGCAGGAGAAGTGTTAGTGTATTTTCATTTAGACCAGGGACGTGACCATGGTCTGCTTTTGGACGAGCGAACCAACTCCAAGGTTGTGAGAGGTTTTAATGCTTCTGTCCATTTCTTGTAGGACAATATCAGTGGTGGAATGGGAAAGGCCTTAGCTGTCAAAAGGCAAGTCTTCTATACAGGAGTGTGTGTCTTCTTGGAGCGAAGTGGAGGGAAGCCATGAATGCCTGCAGAGAGCTATGGAGGATGTAATGGTTTTGGAGAAGATGTCAACTGTGGGCTTGGATGAATTCAGTTGCTGCTTAGCAAGAAGCATACCTTCCTTCTGCAGACGTCTGGCCAAGAGACGTTTGTCAGCTGGGAGAGCAGCCAGAACTTTGGAGAGCTGCTCCCAAAGAGAATATTGATACCTGCCCATGCAGGCAATGTAATTTGTGTTCCTTGACTCCTAAGGCTCCAGCAGAATAAAACTTTCTTCGAAAAGCATCAAGCTTCCTGCCTTCTTTGTCAACAGGTGTTGAGTGGGTATGCTTGCTCTTGGAGGCAGAGGTCACCTCCACAGAATTAGGCTTAGGATGGGAGGAGAGGAAGTCAGCTCCAGTATCCTGGATTCTATACATATGATTGAAGGCGTCTGGTGGAAACTGGTGTGAA